GTGGCATCAATAATATCCTCTGGTGTTGCAGGTATTGAATTACAGACCCAACTCCTCATGCTCAAATTTTCTTGAAACATTTCATCATATGGCTTTTTTCTTGTGAATGTTTCCATGAGCATTATGCCGTAGCTGTACACATCACATCTTCTAGAAACTAATCCTACTGATCCATACTCTGATCCAATGTTACTAGAGTAATTAGTTTCTTAACAAACTAAATAAATAAACGAAAGTAATATCTTTGTATTTGGAAGATATTAAAAAAAGTTAAAACTATCTTGAGTAGATAAAAAATTTTAAAAAATAAAAATAGGTGGAATGGGAATGAACCAAGAGTAAGACAATAAAATGAAACGAAAAACTGCAAGTTTTTTTTTTTTTTTTTTTTTTTTTTTTTTTNAATCGTCGTAGATGCATGAATAGCAAATAAGATATTAGTGTTTGGCAAGCCATAAAAAAAATGTTTAAAAGTCTTGTACCTTTAAGTCAAAAATGAGCCAAAAGCTATTAGTTGGGCATATGTTTATTACTACTATGTTATTCCAATAAATAACTTATATTCATTTAATATAATTTTATTTATTCATTTTAAAACTTAAAAATGAATTGAAAGATATATAATTTGTATCGAAAATGAAAAGTCTTGCAATAATCTATTGTTTGATATTAACATCTTAATGTCATTTGGTCATTTTAGTAGGAAAAAATGCTGATAAGCACTTTTTTAACGAACACATCAATTGTTTGTTTCACTCTGAGCACTTCTATCTAACCGCATAATTTCTTGTTCATAAAATCAGTTTCAGCATTTAAAAAGTGTTTTCCGGCACTTGGTGCTTAAAAGCAACAGTCCTGTTTTAGCTAAGCTAAATGGGCTCTATATTTCAATGTTTTCAATACCATTTTTTCATGAATCTGTGATATATTACATAAAACTAGAAAACAAAAGATTACGTACTATTTGATACATTAGCACTTTATATTTGATAATAAGAGACCAAAAAAGAAAATTACCTGGTGCAATATAGCCCATCGTTGCAAGTGTGTTAGTATGAGCAATAGATTCCCCTTCTCCTAATAACTTGGTCAGGCCAAAGTCACTCACATGTCCAACCAGCCTTTCGTCTAGCAAGACGTTACTAGGCTTCAAGTCGCCATGTACAACGACTGTTGCATAACCATGATGGAGATATTCCAAAGCTGATGCAACATCGATCATTATGTCTAATCTTTGGATCATATTCAAGTAGTAATCATCAGAATGTAACCATTGCTCTAGGCTTCCATTGGGCATGTATTCTAGAAGTAATGCTTTAAAATCCATGTTAGTACAACTGCTGATAACTTTGGTAAGATTTCTATGGCGAAGGTTGCGTAGAACTTCACATTCAGTATCAAAACTCTTGAATGCACCTTCAATCTGTAAATTAAACACTTTGATTGCCAAAACCATCTCATTCGCAAAGATGCCCTTGTAAACAGAACCGGAACCTCCATGGCCTAGCAAGTTGCATTGGTCGAACCCCTGAGTTGCCCTTTCGATTTCAATGTACGAAATCCTGGCTAGTATCGTTGTTGCAGGTAAGGATTCAACTTGGGTTGGAACATTTCTACGTCTCCTGAACATGAACACAACAATTGAGCCAAGTCCTATTAATGAAACCACCAATGGGACAAGTACAATCAGAAGAAATCTGCTTCTCCGTGAGTGATGACCAGACCTAGCCTTACAAGGTCGGAAAAGGAAACCACCACATAACTCTTCATTTCCCATAAAAGATTGAGACGTGAAATTGAGAAAAGGTCCTTTAGTTGGGATTTCACCTTCTAATCTATTGAATGATACATTGAAATCCTTGAGATACCGAAGTGCCTCTAATGATTTTGGAATCATACCTGAAAGAATGTTATTGGATAGTATCACCGATTCCAAACTTATCATTTTTCCCAGCGACTCAGGAATAGATCCTTGCAACTCATTGAAAGCCAAAGAAAGATAAATTAGTTTCAGCAAGTCTCCGACTGTGGTTGGAATACTTCCTGAAAGGTGATTCCTCGACAAATCTACTAATGTTATGGCATCCAAATTTCCGAATTCTGGAGGTAAAGAACCAACCAAAGAATTATTGGACAAGTCAAGCTCTACAAGATCTTTGAGGCTCCATAGACTCATGGGTATGTTAGTGAGCCTATTTGAGTTTAGGTAAATATTTCTCAAAGAGGTAACATTACCAATGCAATATGGTATTGGACCCGATATTTGATTATAAGACAAACGAACCAAGCCCAACCCCGGCAATTTGCAAAGGCACTCCGGTAAGGGTCTACTTAACCTGTTCTGGTCAAGATATAATACTTGAAGATTGTGTAAATCACAGAATGTTCTTGGCATTGAACCAGTCAAGTCATTGCCGGATATGGAAAAAGTGTTTAAGTTACTTAAATTACCAATTCCTAATGGTATCTGTCCCCTAATTTCAGTTTCATCTAAAAAAAATAGTTCAAGAGAACCGGAGAGATTGCCAATGGAATCTGGAAGAACACCATTAAGAGGATTATCCGATATCACTATTTCTTTCAAAGATCTGCAGTTCGCCAAAGAAGTTAAGATACTTAGGTGCGGAGATGATAAGTTGTTTTCGAACAACATCAAACGTTCAAGCTGTCTCAAATCCCCCAAAGAGTTAGGAATCGGGCCATTGAATTTGTTGTTGTTAAGAATTAATCCCTTTAGATTTGAAGAATTGGAGATTGAGCTGGGTATAACTCCATCTATGCTGTTATTACCAAGATGCAGAAAATTTAGATTTGTTTGCCAGTAGCTTGAGGCAGATGGAAGACTACCGGAAAGGTTATTAAATGCAAGTGACATCACTCTTAGCGTAGAGATATTGAAGAGCTCTTCCGGTATGGAACCACTTAGTTTATAATTCTCTGCAAGATCAAGTGTCTCCAATTTGTGAAGGCTCCCAATCTTTCTGGGTATTACTCCACCAATGTTATTCCTAGAAAGTGACACCCTTGTTAGGGTAGAGATATTGAAGAGCTCTTCCGGTATGGAACCGCTTAATTTATTAAATTGCAAATAAAGTGTCTCCAACTTGTGAAGGCTCCCAATCTCTCTGGGTATTACTCCACCAATGTTATTCGTAGAAAGTGACACCTTTGTTAGCGTAGAGATATTGAAGAGCTCTTCCGGTATGGAACCACTTAATTTATTAAATTGCAAATAAAGTGTTTCCAACTTGTGAAGGTTCCCAATCTCTTCGGGTATAACACCTGCAAAAAGATTTAGTTTAGTGTTATGAAAGAATTACAAGAAAATACACGTGACTTCACACCATAACAAAAAATGATCCATGTTTTTATGTTTTACCTGACCTAGCCCATATTGTACATATTTTGAAAGCACTTGCAAATTCAAAATTTGTGTTCTTACAACCATTGCTTCTAAAAGCTATGTAGTTAAATTTGTGTTCTCACAACCATTGCTTTTCACTCTCTTTTCTTCTCACATCTTCTACATATGTTTCAAGGTGCTGTATATTTTCTGCTTCTCCCTCTGTGTCACCTGGTTGCAATGTAAGAAAATTGAAGAGTAGAAGTCCACCATTGAAGACCATTCAAAGCTTTGCTTTTGAAAATAAAAATTTTTCGAGTTTGTTAGTTGTTTGGACTGGGTATTGTTCTAATTGATTGAAAATATCAAAAGGAGTTCAAAATTTAAATTTGAAATAATTTGGAGTAGATTTGGGCAAGATTTGAGTTAAATTTCAGAAAAGACGCAAGGAAGAAGACGAAATGAGTTTTTTGTATAATTATGTATAATAGTGTATATGAGCGTTTAAACACATCTTATACACTATTATACACTTTTATACACCTTTATACAAGCATCTGTAGATGAACTTCTTCCACGATTTTCAGTTGTAATTCTTGTTCAAAACCAGTCCAAATCTCCATTAAATGACTTCAAATTTTATATACAATCTACTTATACTATTTCTAACAAGTCTAAATAACACCCACTCCAAATTTCTCACAAAATCAAATTCGAAATTTAAAGCCACATATTTAAGCTTGTTAAAAATCTAATTTTCACCACCCAAATGGATTTGGCTTGTTGAACTAATATTTGAGTCACAGTTAATGATTCGAAAATTAACCTAAAAGCTTGAGCAATCTTTTTAAAATTAAATAGTAATTTCGAAAACCTATTGGAGTTGGATGTTGAATCTTAGCCTATTATTTTGGGCTAGTTGGTTGTAAATTAAAAAAATAGGCTATAAAATTGAAAAATAGGGAACCCAGTTGTTCTTATGTGAAATTTTCCCTAATGTTATTTTTAATTTCGATTCCATGAAACCATTACTCTTTCTGGATTGCCAAACAACAACACATTGCTCGAAACTTACCTGTTAAATTGTTGGTGTTGAAATTAAGTATCCATAGCGATGTCATGTTCCGTATGCTGCGCGGTATTGAACCCACGATGCCGTTGTTCTCCAGTTGCAATTGCTGCAAATTTCGTAAATTACCAATCTTTGCTGGAATTATGCCTGCAAATTATTTTTACACAAAGCAACCAATTTGAGATTTTGCCAAAATGTAGGCAAAATTTATGGCCAAACATGTGTTTGCCAAATAAAACCCAAATTTATTTTGGCAAAATCTATGGTCAAACGGGTCCTTAGTTGTTGTATTGGAAAAGGTGTTCCCATAATGGTTATTTTGAAAATAATTCTATTTTTCCCCAAAGTTATTTTTAAAGGTTGAAGGTTCATCCAACCAAACATCATGTACGTCCAATCGCCTACCTAGGATAGTAAATAGAGCAGGGCTGGGGCTATTATTATGAGGGAAGAGCAACATGACTTGTTGAATTAAAATGCAATGTTACTCCTATATATTAACGTCACAATTTTCTATAGATCACGTGTTTATGCTAACAAATTGAGAAAAGTATTANACTGTGGCGGAATGGTTCCAACAATGTCCATGTTTGATATATTGAGTGCTCTCACCCTATGATGGCGAGAGCCGCAAGTGACTCCAATCCAGTCACAAACTGAAGATTGAGAAGACCAATTTTGGGTTAAGGGATGAGAAGAGTTTAGAGTAACTCTGGATTTTAAGGCAAGAAGAGCTGATTGATCTGTGCTTATGTTTGTGGCTATGCATGCCACTAACAAGTAGAGTAATTGCAAGACAACAGAAAGAATAAAAGAGTTGGCTTTCTCCATGGATACAACTGATGTTTGTAGTATGTAATTAAAACTGTAGATAAAATAAGGAATGAAGTGGTCAGCAATAAATAGGGATAAAAAATTGCTGAGGATGTTGGGAGGAGGGCAGTTGGGGCAAACCAATAAGACTTTGACTTTATTAAGTCTTCCGAAAGTTTGCCCCACAAAGATAAGTACCCTTTTCTTCACTATCTATTGCTTTACATGAGATTCTGAGTAGATTCTAAGAATAGTTTTTCCAACAAAAGTTTCCAGTAATAATACCTCTTTATCTGTGCTCTTAGGAGTATTATTATTTAGAAGGCTCTCTTATTCTTTTGGGTCGGGTAATGGGTCTAGTTAAGTGTGAATTCTAATTTAACCGTGTATTTTAAAATTGGGGTTAGTGTTTTTTTAATCTTAAGCTGCAAAGTGGCCTTCCGTCCAAATCAACGGCAAATTAGTGTCATAGTATGACAATAGAAGACCGAATAGTCAAATGCAGGGTAAATTTAAAGATAATTCAAGGGTATATTTGTTCTTTTCCAATTTTAATAAAAAATATACTAGTTTGTTTTCTTCACATAATATTGAAGAAAAAGCTGCATTCAAAGGCATTTATTATTTTCACCTATATAAGAAGCACGAAAGAAACAGGTGAAGCAGAGACGTCTTCGCCGATATGCCAGCTTCCATCATTATATATTTATTCCTATTTTTCAGTATTATTACTTTAACGGCCATCACATAATTTAGTAAATTAAGGGAACTTCTGACTACTTTCTCTCCATAAATGCATAGTACAAAAATATGGGACCAGCAATTTAGTGAACAAAGGAACAACAACAACAACAACCCAAACCCAGAATAATTCTATTTAGTGGGGTCTGGGGAGGGTAGTGTATACGCAGACCTTACCCCTACTCTGAGGTAGAGAGGCTGTTTCCAAATAGACCCCCGGCATCCTTCCCTCCAAAAACTTCCCACCCTGCTCTTGGGGAGATTCGAACTCACAACCTCTTGATTGAAAGTGGAAGTTGCTTACCATCAGAGCAACCCCTCTTGCCTTAAACAAAGGAAATTTTGGGAAATTTTGGACAGATGCGTAGGGATGTACCTAAACGTCGGACCCATTTGAACATATATTAATACCCAAGACTTCTCCACAGATGCATAGTACAAATTGTCAGATCACTATTTCTTGAAAGTTGCGTATGTTTACAAGCACATAATACAAATACTTCAATCAAATCTAAGATTTTCAAAAATCAAGTATATTTAGCAGCTCATTTATTTCAAGCACAAAAATTGAAAAGGAAATTGTATTTGAATTCAATTAAATAATATAAGTTTTGTGTAATTATGACCTAATACATAACTAATTGCTGAGTTTGAATAGCAAATATATTAAATCAACCATTAAGCTCGAATAAATAAAATTGACAAGTTAAAGCGTAGCAGAATAAATTTACCTAATAAAAAAAATAGCAGAATAAATTCACTAAATAAAAATAATTTTTACATATAAATATATGCTAGATTTAAGTTCAACCTATGTCTATAAGTTAATAATTAATATTTATATTCATCTAAAACTTTAAACATTATAAATTCATGAAAGAAAGTAAATACAATACTATCACATTTTGCAATTTAAGTAGTTTGTAATGCTTTCAAATAATAGTACAATTATTTGGGCGCCAACTCTTTTAATATGAAGGAATGTGCGTACATTTGTTTCTACTAAAAGTAAGATTATGTAAATAAAAGTTATTGTAAAATTTTACATTAATTTTGAGACATTAAAATTATTTTCTTACTTAACTTTTACGATATTATTTCTAACCTATTAACCCTTATATTGTCATGAGTTTATTTGTTTTTAAATACTAACATTTAAGTTAATTACTAATTTAGTTTTTAATTTAATTTATATTTGCTACTTACCCTAAATTCAGTGGACCAAATCACCAGAATATATATTATGGATAAAACCGACAATTTACAATATTTTAATTTAGTTACTTCTTGAGTTGCAAGTGATATGTGTATTTTTATTACTACTATTTTTGAAACTGATTTGACAATCCGGCAAAAATATGAAATGATGGAAACTTGTGTTAATATTCTGTCGGAAAATATTTCTTATACCCACTTATTATTTATAATTATTATTAATATCATACACAAAATTTAAGTATAATAACTATATCTAAAAATTTAGTTAAAATTATTAAATTGCCGACTGGTGTATAGTGTTCAATCTCGAGAAAGTTGATTCATTAAGGATATTCAAATAGTAGATACACAATAGCTAAGCAGTTAAATATTTTGCAAAATTTCCCTTAATACTTGAGAATATTAATTAAAATTTAAATTGTTTACAGGGTATGTTCTATGAAATACCAATTAAAATAATACTACAATATTAGAATATTTTCTTTCATAATAATTTTAATTGCAATGTTGGACCTCTGCGACAACACGTGCTTTACTTCCGCTAGTTATTTAGAGATCCCAACATATTGTATATCATCAAGTAACTGTGACAAATGCACATAAACTGATTAATTCTTAGTTACTTACTGTAAAATGGATGGACGTCGGCCGGTTCGGTTCGATTTTTCATGAAGCCGAAACCGAATGAACCGAAATTTACCGTTCGGTCGTTTTTTTTTGTTCGATCGGTATTATGCCCACCCTACAGATAGCAACTCAAAGTAATCTTAGACCATAATGAGGCCAGTCATTAACACTTGAATCCCTAAATTATCAATAATTTAGATAGAGAACTATCCTAGGAATGTTTATGAAAAGCAGAATACATCAATAGTCCCTCAAACTTGTCCATACTTTTCACTTAGACACAATCATAAATCCGTTTGAACACTTCAATTACATCTCAAATGCATCACTTAGACACAATTTGATCATGTGTCATAGTGTGTATTACATCATTTTTCAGAGTGTGAGAGCAATTTTTATTTAATTTTTTTCTCAATCTTTTATATCCTATTCTTTCGTACACCATCATCTCTTTTCTTTCGCACACTAGGCGAAGATCCTCTCTTTTCCATCATAATGTTTTGCTCCTTTTTTTCTTTTTTCTTTGCAATATTCTCGTCCCATAAAATAAAGAAATACCGCCCGTTTGAAATTTATATAGAGAAGCATGAAGAAGAAGCAATAATAAATTCAAAATATAAAGGGAAAAAGATAATGCATCTTACTAAATAGTTCATGTTTGTTTTGTAGACATAAACTTTAATTGCATACCAGGATCTTGAACATGATAATCTTATACAAAATTGTTATAGAAAACATACTTGAATCGTAAGCCATCATCGTGTAGCGAAACATTAATTCAAAATTGGTTTTTTGCCCCTTGCCCTAGCTTTTGTTACCGCCGACTTTAGTGATGGAAGAGAGAAAATAAACTACGATAACCCTAATGAGTGGGGATAGGACCAATTTATAGAGGTTCTCAATTAATCTGGTACGTCCATTAAGTAACCAATCAGACGGTTGAGATTTGATAATTAATTAAATATTAATTATGGGCCATAAACCTATTGGGCTACATCCACGTAAGAAAATAACTTACATTCTCCCACTTGACTCAATAATCACTATATCTATATTTAATATAGAACATTAGTTGCACATAAACAAATATCTTCTATAATGTCCATCATAAATACCATAATACGATAAACTACTAAATGTGAGTTATGTCGGTTATATATAATTTGTCTACATACTCCCTTCTATATACTGCAACATTAGCAACTAATCGTACCAGGTCCATAAGTTATAAAATATTATGGTCCACAATAATGTCTCATTTAGACTTATCCTGTAATATCTCAAAACAATAATGTGTATACCATTATGAGAAACAGGAAATCACATAATGTATATCAGAAACATATAAATAAGCTCAGAGTGTCAAAATATCATAAATACATCAGTCATAAATACTGCCAAGACCCATTCTATGTACATGTTCTTTAAATATCTTTGTTTGTAAACCTTTCGTTAACGGATCTGCAATCATGAGATTTGTTCTAGTATGCTCAAGTGACACTCTTTGTTTCTGAACTTCCTCCTTGACGGTAAAGTACTTTAATTCCATATGTTTGGCACCTTTGGAGTACTTATCGTTCTTGTAGAAGAATACTGCTATAGAATTATCACATTAAATTTTTCAGTGGCTTGGTAATGGTGTCGACAACCCCAAGTCCTGAAATAAAGTTTCGCAGCTATAATGCATGAATTGTGGCTTCAAAACATGCCACAAATTCTACTTCCATCGTGGATGTAGCAATGACAGACTGGTTGACACTCTTACACGATATTGCTCCTTCAGCTAATTGGAACAAATAACCAAAGGTGAATTTTCTAGTGTCAATACATCCAGCGAAATCAGAATCCGAGTATCCAACAACTTCCAAATGCTTGGATCTCCTATACATGAGCATATAATCCTTCGTTCCTTTCATGTACCTCAAAACTTTCTTTGTAGCTTTCCAGTGATCAATTCCTGGGTTACTCTGATATCTTCCCAATATTTTGACGGCAAAACTAATATCTGGTCTTGTGCAAGTCTGAGCATATATCAGACTACCAATAATAGAAGAGTAAGGAATTGATTCCATATTTTCGTTCTATATCATTCTTAGGGCATTGCATGAGACTAAATTTATTCCCTTTTTGAATTGGGACAATTCATGCT